AAGAACCGGAATAAGACCGCTAAAAGACCGCTAAAAGACCGCTAAAAGACCGCTAGAAATCACTAGAAAACCGGAATAAGACCGCTGAAATGCAACGTCTAAGCATAGTCCACGACCCCATGATCAGGCGAATCAGCAGGATAGAGGAACCAGTCATGACGGAGGCGGTGAGGAGGGTCAGCAGAGCGGGGAATGTAGCGGTGAGAAGAGTGAGTCATGTTGGTGGGGAGGCGGTGAGAAGGGTGAGTCATGCTGGTGGGGAGGCGGTGAGAAGGGTGAGCACGGCGACTGTACGGAGGGCAGGGAGAATGAGTACCGTGAAGACGCCTGACCTGCAAGAATCTCCTGCCGAGGTTTGTTATTTTTATTGTTCTACTTTTTTGGTTTTCTGCAGGTTCTGAGAGGGAATGTAAAAATGTTTTTTTTTTCGGAGCACTATGAAAATCATCTGATTGTCATCATCGTTAGATTTTCAACTTCTTATTGCTGCCTCAATGTTCGGTGTAGCACCTCAACTCAGAGCAGCCCAGATTTAAGTTTAGCTCTTAAGGTTTATCAATTTTATTTTGTTATTGTAAGCAAGGAGTGCTCTCAAATTCTGGAACATTCAGAAATTTCGAAATTAGAAACAAACATTTCTCACATGATATAAGGCGTAATCAAAGCACCTGCTTATCGAATATCGGCCTATCCGATAATGTCCATTACCCAATTTATTTAACAATCGAATTAACTGTATCAGGTTCCAAGCTTGTCTTTGGCAGACTTAATTCCCAACACGTTAATAGAGTTCCAACTCGTGGTCCAAACACGTGACCATGAACACGTGATAGGGGCGTGAACTGAGTACTTAATCCTAATCCTGTATAACCCTAGACATTGAGGTACTTCAGCTACCAGAAGTTTAAAAGAAACTGACGTAACTTCAGTTTTAACATGAGTCAAAAGCCTACTCAAGGAGACAGACTGTAGATTAGTAGATACTCAGGATTTTAAACTGTCGTGTATGTCGTGTATGTTAAAATGAAAAAGAGACTAACCTTAACTTCCATGGAACAATTGACGAATATGAAATTAATCCTATTTTGTTCTCACGTCAATATTCTAAAGACCCTTTGTTTCAATTTGGCACTCGAAGCAGTTGTTTGAACGGATTTTAATTTTGTTATTTAAAAATGTAGTCAAAACTCCCATTCAGTTAAGACAAACACTAAAATAAAAGTCAATCTAAGTTATAGGATGGTCACAGTAAGTTGGGACAGTCCTTCATATTAATAACAGCTTGTACTAATACGGAATTGTATTCGTACGATCGATTAAATGATCTCAGCTCTAATAAAGTAACAATAAGCTATTAAACATGACCAATCCATTAGACATATGATACCACATGATTATCACATGACACTGGCACACACGTGAAACTTTAACCCGTTCCACCAATATGGATTAGCCTATTAATTTCATCAAATGATTGCTTGATAAACATAAAGTACAGGTTAATCGGCTTGATATCAAGTTTACGCAGATTGCTTCCTAAACGTCGAGCCTCATCACTATTCTGGAGTTAAGAGGATTATTTGCTTTGTGCTTTTACAATTAACTTGATTTTGTCACGCTTTTAATGGCAAGTTGAGGCTCTCTTGTTTTAGATTTGTTTCGTTGTGGTATTTGATTTTTAGTAGTTATTAAGTTAATCTAACTAAACTAAAACTCTTATCTCGCTTAATGAAATGTCCATCATGACCGTGCACCCCCTCCCTTGTCGGCTGATTTTGTAATATATGTGATCGACCCTTATAATACCGTCATTTCATTAGTATTCGGCGACCTGATTCGGGCTTCTTGGATACTACCTCAATTGATAACCATTCTAAATTTTGTTCGTGTGTCGTTTTGTACGCTTCAAGTTCATTTCTTCGTGCCCCCAGATAAACCAGTCATTTTAACTCGTCCTAACCTTGTAATTAAACAACAGCAACATTTACAACAATCAATACTTATTACTTATCTTCAATACTTTAATTAACATATTGCTTTATTTAAATTTAAAGACAATCGCCAAAATATCAGCTGAGTTTGCAGAGGTTAAAAACAGGCTTGGAAGTTCTAATTACAAACTTCAAGATAAGGTTAATATAGCTTCAAAATTCTATCATTCTATTTATCACTTTAAAATTAGGTACAGGATCAGCTGTCCTAGATTGGGATGGACCATTTTTAGAGTATTTAATGATTCAACCAGGCTATTTATCAAATATTGAGATAAAGTGTCGTTCGGAATATTATTTAAAATTCGTATGATCAAGGCTGGGAGTATGGCATATTGTAACCGTATGTAAGGGTTCAAGGATTATCTTCAGAGATTTAGGGTCAAGTTAAAGCTTGCTGGCTAACGACCTAGGAATCAAACAAGATAAAGTGATGAGGGCCGTGGTAATTTGTTGTAAACCCTATAATAATCTTACTATATATAAAGCGAGACAATAGGGTTCCGTACCATTTTACTGACACCATGGCATCAACTTTAACGCGACTTTCCGCAAAAACCGTAAAAGAAATACAACTTTTTTGGCTGGGCCAAATGCTTTAATGACCTTCACATCAGCATAAAAAAGTAACAATTTTGCCAAGGAATAAGAATTTTAGTGCCCAAAATTTGGGCCCCCAAGTAGTGTCAAAAACGCGAATTAAATAGGTAATAATTGTTTTAGTCTCTCCGGTCTTGACACCACTTTAGGGTTAGACGGGTTCCTGCTAGTTAATTATAATTTCTTGGCCAATTTTTTATTTTTTCATGCTGATTTGGAGGCCATTAAAGCATTTGACCCAGTCAAAAAAGTTTCAGTTGACTGGTTTTTGCAGAAATTCGCGTTAAAGTTGATATATCGTCTCGCTTTATATATAGTAAGATGCCTGATAAACAGCCGAAAGTACATTGCAAGGATCTTCTGAAGTAGATGTGCAGTGCACTATAATTTAGTGTCCTAGCCAAAGTTATGGCTGACTTTGGTTAAAATATAAATGAAAGGAGGTAGATTAAAATTTGAAACATCAATATCAAGCTGAATGCTGAGCTATTTTAATTCAAAATGAACCTAAAGTAAGTATATCGATATTCACACTTTATCTTCATTCTTCGGAAAAATGTCGATAAAATCGAAATCAGCGAAATAAATACGGGCATAAGACTAAAACAAGTGCCATGAAAAACGTAATCGAAAAGTTCATTAGTCGAAAATTTGAAATAAAAATCATACACACAATTCTATTTACTTGTAATTTAAATTTGTCAGATTCTTTAATTCTGTTTAACTCTGTTTTGGTTAAAGTTATCGTTTTTTACTGTTGGATATGAGATAACCAAGCTATTATAGTTAACGATTCTAAACTGCAGAAGCTTAAAATCGTCGAAGCGAAGGAATTTGTCCCTCTTTCAATTCCGATATCAACAACAAAAATTGTTAGTTTAAAACAAGTTAAAGTTACAACAAAACTAATAAACTAGATAATATACAACTTAAACTTTTTTGACTGGTTCAAATGCTTTAGTGGCCTAGTGACGGACGCCTGAAAACCTAACAAAGTCAAGGCTCTTAAAAAACCTAATATCTTTAAGGAAATGGGGAAAGGTTTGGAGGACGGTGTTGTTATCCGTAACGAAGCTGTATCTGACGTTAAAGATCTCGCTCACATGTAAGTTTTTATAATTATTGTACGAATCAATCAATCAACTTTTTCAGCTTGAAATAAAATTAAATGAAATTAAAAAATTAAAGCTTGTAATCTTTCGTTTAATTTTTAGCATGAAGTAAACTAAATTTTAGAGGAAATAATAGTCGGTACTTGAAAACTGGATTGATTTTTATCATCATATTTTATGCTAAATATGCGTTTCTCACTTTTAAGAAGTTAATGACGAAGGATCTAATAATAACAGCTGACCATATTATACAGCTTTCGCAGATTCCATGTCTTATCAACATCTTATCAATTACAAGAACTGTGCGCCATTAACAAGTTAACATATCCAACAACGCTCACGTCTGGCATATAATATAGTATGGGGATAAATACCAATTCAGATTTCTAGTATCGATCAGACGTTTTATACTGATGGCCACAAACCCATTATCGGGGCGAGAGTCCTTAAGCTTTCAAGTGTGTCCATTATATACTTATAGTGATTATTAATTTAAGTTCAGCTTACAAAAACTGATAACAACCTTATCTTTTATCTTTAAATTAAGGCTGATTGTTGCGATTAATTTGCTTTGATTGTGTTGCATCAATGAATTAAATTGCATGATGGATTTAATGATTGCTGTCACAAATAACCAGTTGCAAATTTGGTGTTGTATCACGAACACGACTCCTATAATTCGTTTTACTTTTACCAGCAGGTGTTCCTTTTTTTCATAACTTCTGAACAACGTAGCTAACATGTAGGTAGTTAATTTAGTAACGTAAGATGAGAGAGTCTGAAAATTGTGATGTTGTTTATAACGAATTTTTGCTATATTCACATCGCTCTCGTGTAATAAGATCACCAGTTGTATTGATGGGTTAACGTTGTTGTTGTACATAATATGCACATAATATGCTAGTATGCACACGTACCATCACTTAAAAACAACGTTGTTAAAATGTAATTTGTAGGTAATACTCTGCCAATAATAATCTTTATTACTGTGAGATTTAAAGCTGCAAATAAGCTTTGGAGACTTGGATAAATGCCATAGTGTTAAATAATGATTGCAGCTCAGGACTAAAACTCATTATTCTTGGCGATGCTAATAATTAAAGGATCTTAATATAATATAATTAATGTTTCAATTGTATCGATTAACGTTTACTGTGACTTAATAGGCCATTAATTTCTAGCTTAACATAACCCCGATATTGCTAGGTAAATAATGATTAAATTAGTAGGTGAAGTCTAAGATGTCCAATCAGTCTATCAAAAACATTTAAGTTTGCACAGTCAATTATAACGATGCACTTTTGATTGATCTTGCAATTATTTTTGTTCTTTTCCCTGATAAATCTTATTTACTATTTTCCCGCAAGTAATTCCCGATTAACCTTTCTTTGCTTGTTTGTTAAAGTTCGCTATGAGCTCCAACAAAGTTAAGTTCTCCATCGACTCCAGTAAGGTCCATCACAACAGAGCTGCACAAGATTTCAGCACAGATCCGGAGGCCCCAAAGATGACATAGTAAGTTGTTCTCTAAATTCAGAATAATTCATTTACGAAGCTAGTGGTAATTGACATGTCATAGGAAGGTGAACTGAACCAACATGAATGACAATCTAGACTCTAAGATGCGTTCAATCGTACAACATTTCATTTAATTATAATCAATATATGTGCGAGGTTGCACCTTCCTTGATTCCCGCTAAATTCCTAATCCGTGTTCATTGAATGGATGTGAAGTTTATCAGAACCTTATCAGAACTTGTAAGATAAAACCGTTTACAGCTCATGTATTAACCTCTTAATTTGGAGCCTTTAGGTATCCTCATTTGAGTAGCAAAAAATTGGTGCCTGATTTCGTTCTTTGATTTGACGCGTCCATTTCCAGTCTATTTCCTGCCCATTTCTATTTCGATCTGTTTTTGGCTCGTACTAGAACATGGAGTTTAACATGGATCAGCCTGAAAGCTCGTATCATCCTTTACAAACTACAGATGAAGGGTATGGCGAACAACTTGTTGATAAGACAGTTTTTAACCTTGGTTTTAGACCAATATGGTAACCTTATACGTGCAGGAGGATCCTGAACGGTGCCCGTTTTCTTGAATTTCTCTCAAACGCGACCCTTTCTCGTTCATTTCTTGTCCATTTCCTGCATATTTCTAATTCAATCTGTGTTTTTTTTGATTTATTGGGTGGTATAGAACATGGAATTTGACAGGGAACAGCCTGAGAGCTCGTATCGTCCTTTACAAACTACAGATGAATGGTGTGGTTAATAATTTGTTGATAAACCTTGAACGTGCTGCAGGATCCCTCCCGGCTACCTTACCTCTGTAACCCTAACAGCTAACACATAAACTGTAGATTCTAGCCTTTACTCTAACCTTAACACCCTTTACTCTTACCTTAACACCCTTTACTCTTACCTTAACACCCTTTACTCTAACCTTAACACCCTTTACTCTAACCTTAACACCCTTTACTCTAACCTTAACACCCTTTACTCTAACCTTAACACCCTTTACTCTAACCTTAACACCCTTTACTCTAACCTTAACACCCTTTACTCTAACCTTAACACCCTTAACACCCTTTACTCTTACCTTAACACCCTTTACTCTAACCTTAACACCCTTTACTCTTACCTTAACACCCTTTACTCTTACCTTAACACCCTTTACTCTTACCTTAACACCCTTTACTCTTACCTTAACACCCTTTACTCTTACCTTCACACCCTAATGACACACTATCTAAATCTTAATCCATAAGAGAGAACTTTATATCTGTATATGCAGTGTTTCGATCCTTAAGGGTTCAAACCCGGGCTGTTAATAAAGCGTTGGTTTACTTTCAGTGAGGTAGAAGAGAAGGATGACCGCAAAACCTCTCAAATGGGTGTGTTTGGGTGGAGACCCAGGTTTCTTGAGGTGAGCAGAATTTGTTTTTGTTTCTGTTTACATTTTGCGATCGTATCAAGGAACGACAATATCCTTTTCAAGGAAGCGCCCAGTTTGACGCCCAGTTTGACTCTAACCTCTCCTCAATTTCAGTGTCTTAACCAGCCGGTCATATTTGTTGTATTCTTTGGTATTGGTAATCTGTTTACCGTGATGTCGTTTGGAGTCCTCAGCGTATACCTTACAACCTTAGAGAAAACATTCAACTTGAACTCTAAAGAAACAGGTTAGACTGTAAGCTTCACTTTCAAACCGCATAAAGTATAAAATTAATTTATATTTGTCGGTCAACCATTTAAACTTCTCGTTAAATCAACTCCCATTTTGATTATGGTCTAATGATTTGATTAAAATCGATCAACTGCCAAGTTTCAACAAATTGATTTGATTTGGCAGGAAATAATTGAGAAATATGGTCCATGGTGCAAATGATAATTTGACGACAATAGCGAATATTTAGACAACTGACCAATTGAATTTGATTTTGCTTCGGGCATGTTCTCCAGCTGCACAATTTGTCTTTGTGAATAACAGCTGGGTTCATGCTACTGGACAAAGCATGATTTTAATGATAATTTATCGTTTTCAGGAGTAATCCTCCTTGGGAACGACATATCTGGACTCTTCGCCTCACTTATCCTAGCCAACTACTGCAGCTCTAAGAAAATCCGGTGGATAGCTATTGGCATGTTTGCTGTTGTATTGTCGTGTCTTCTACCAGCCATGGCTACTCTATTTGCAGAGGTTTCTATAACTAAGTGACTAAATTACTTCAATACGGTATTTCCAAGCTTGAAATATAAGACTTTTATAAAAACTATGACGATTAGACTAAGAGACAGGGAACTACATACAATGGGCTACAAGAGAAATCAACTTGTCTGATAAGCAAAGGTTTTAATCAATCTAGCAAAGGTTTTAATCAATCTAGCAAAGGTTTTAATCAATCTAGCAAAGGTTTTAATCAATCTAGCAAAGGTTTTAATCAATCTAGCAAAGGTTTTAATCAATCTAACAAATGTTTTAATCAACCTAGCAAAGGTTTTAATCAACCTAGCAAAGGTTTTAATCAATCTAACAAAGGTTTTAATCAATCTAACAAAGGTTTTAATCAATCTAGCAAAGGTTTTAATCAATCTAGCAAAGGTTTTAATCAATCTAGCAAAGGTTTTAATCAATCTAGCAAAGGTTTTAATCAATCTAACAAAGGTTTTAATCAATCTAGCAAAGGTTTTAATCAATCTAGCAAAGGTTTTAATCAATCTAACAAAGGTTTTAATCAATCTAGCAAAGGTTTTAATCAATCTAACAAAGGTTTTAATCAATCTAGCAAAGGTTTTAGTCAATCTAGCAAAGGTTTTAATCAATCTAGCAAAGGTTTTAATCAACCTAGCAAAGGTTTTAATCAATCTAGCAAAAGTTTTAATCAATCTAGCAAAGGTTTTAATCAATCTAGCAAAGGTTTTAATCAATCTAGCAAAGGTTTTAATCAATCTAGCAAAGGTTTTAATCAATCTAGCAAAGGTTTTAATCAATCTAGCAAAGGTTTTAATCAATCTAACAAAGGTTTTAATCAATCTAGCAAAGGTTTTAATCAATCTAGCAAAGGTTTTAATCAGTCTAGCAAAGGTTTTAATCAATCTAGTAAAGGTTTTAATCAATCTAGCAAAAGTTTTAATCAATCTAGCAAAGGTTTTAATCAATCTAGCAAAGGTTTTAATCAATCTAGCAAAGGTTTTAATCAAACAAACTGCCTGATTTCAGTATCCTGAAATGAACAAGGACGCCTTTGTACCGAGTATGGAGGGTATCAGAGGTTTATGTGACCTTAGTGAAAAGGGGTTCGGTCCACCGCCTCAGACAGATGGTAGCTATGCAGTTCGGAACCACGGGCTGTTCTGGCTCTTTGTTGCTGGATCTCTTGTCTTGGTAAATAGAGACGGGAAATTTTATTTGAAATTGTGTATGATTGAAAAACATTTTATGGGTTTATTTGCTAGCAAGGACATTAATTCAATTTCCGTCTGAGTTAATACCAGATTGATTCATATTGAACAAACGGTAATTCATACAATCCTTCTAAAACAATGTTAACACAGGGTATAGGTGGCTCACCCCCGGGTATAGCTGGCCCCACCTACATGGACGAAATGTACACACAGAAAGAGTTTGGTATCGCTATCTCCCTCCTGTACATAATCACCTTTGTAGGTAGGGTTCATTTCCATTGTTCTTCTTTTTAGGAACTGATATTAACCGAGTTTCTGATTCAGGATGTTACTGAAGATAGTATTGAAAATGTTTTAACACCTCAGAACTGCATGTATGACTACAGCTCAACCTGCTCAGTCTGACCAATTGGGAAATTTAAACCCACCTTTGTAGGGTTCCCCATCTCAGTGCTGTTCGCGGGGGCCTCCCTTGACATGTACGTGACTCTGGACCCCCCGGAGGGAATGAACCCCAGCAGACCCGAGTGGGTGGGGGCCTGGTGGTTAGGGTTCCTGGTGCCGGCTGTGGTGATCTTCTTTGTGAGCTTCATTGTCATGTTGTTTCCTACTCAGATGCCTGCTGCTAAGGTCAGTGGTATAGTGTGTTTTGTAATTCAAAGCAAGCTTGTTTCTTTTTTCTCATTATTAGACTAGATTATAGTCTTGCAGACATTCAATATCACATTATTGTAGATTATAGTTACACCAGATTATGCCATTTTATATTCCAACCATTGCAGAGGGTGTTATCAGACAAGATAAAAAAGGGTATCACAACTGCAGTGGAAAAGAAGAACGAACTCCATCGTTCGATATTGGATATAACCAGAGATACGATCCCTGTAGCGAAGAGGATACTGAAGAACAAGTCCCTGAACTGCCTTGTGTTTGGGGACGCACTTGTTTTCTTACAGATTGGATCTATAAGTTACCTTCCAAAGATGTATGCCATAGCTTTTAGGTGAGTTGAATACAGGATCGTCCGAGCTCGATCATAAATTTACCAGGGTGTGGATCACAGAACTTCTTGTCTTATAACTTCTTGTCTTATAACTCCTTCTTAACTTCTTCTTAATCCCTTCAATTTTATCATTTCCAATGACAAACCAAGCAGAAGATATATATATTTCCCATTAGCAGTCAAGGACAAAAAAGTCATACACCAAATGGACATTATATGTTATGAATTGTTTTACATCTTTTTAATAAAAAGATGTAAAACAATTCATAACACATAAAAAAGTTTTTATTCTGTAAAATGTGCTTAAATTAAATTTCTTGTTTCATTGATTTTACTTCAGACTAGGGTTCTCTGAGGTTGGAACAGTTATTGGAGTAACAAACGTGGTTGCTTTTGTTTTGGGTCTTGTCCTGGGTGGAGCTATCATGAGGATCAAAGATTGGCATCGTGAGTTATAGATTTAAACTAGTCTTATCAATTTCTTTCTTTATGTTTCTGAGTTATAGCCTTCATCATTAGTCCATTTTTACCTTACAAATATCATTCGTGCCATATTTACTTCTTATTTAAGATTTTCAGTCTTGGTTTCCTATCAAATTCATTCACTGATCTCATTAACGGATCATCAGGTATCATGTAATCATCTTCTAAATCGTTCTCACTCAAACTTCAATATTTCAGCTAAAAAGTTGCTGCTAATTTACGCGGTAGCAGTCCTAGTGTCCACCCCCTTTACAGCAAGTCTTTTCTACCGTTGTGACTCAAATACAGTGGGAGGAGTCGACATTATATATCCCAACAGCAATGCCAGGTCAGACTAATCCCTTTGTTGAAGTCAACCTAATACCTTTCTTGAAGTTAGACGAAATTGTTGTATGGTCATATTGGCAGTTGCAGTTCCAACTGTTTATATTCTGATCTTGATTAATTTTGTTTTCTATACTTTACGTTTTTATGTATGTCAGTATTCGAGTATTTGTTCAGTATTTTAGCGCAGTATTTTAGGGCGGATTTTAGCGCACGATATTTAGTGCAGTAAGGTAGAGTTTTTGGTGATCAGGAGTTTTTTGTTTATTGTTTTGGATATTGGAGTGAGGGTTGAGAAATATTGAGATTGTACTTGCAAATAACAATTTTACAGTGATCAAGCTGATCTTATGTCCAATTTTCGATTTCAATTCAGTTGTTAAATGGCCACTAGTTTTTAACATGAAACATTTTCAGTACCCCGGCGTTCCTAGACACATGTAACGAAGACTGTAAATGCAACACAGTATTCCCCTCTTTCGTGTGTGACACCTCAGATCAAACCACCTACTTCTCCCAGTGTCATGCTGGCTGTTTGGGAGGAGAGCTTAACGACCCTGCTGACATCAAATCAGTGAGTCTTACCCCACAAATCTGGAATCACCATAGTTACCATAGTGTTATATGTGAATTCTTAGTCGAAATCCTTGAAATCAAATTTTTCAACAAAAATCGATATGAAGTACGTTTGATCGGTTTTGTTGTGTTGGCTGGTTACAGTTACACCGGGTGCAAAAAATTTAACTACAGGGAGTAAAAGAGTACTCAGAATGTGGGTGTACAGCAGGGAAGACAGTGGTGCCAGGAGAGTGTATAACATATTTAACTACAGGGAGTAAAAGAGTACTCAGAATGTGGGTGTACATCAGGGAAGACAGTGGTGCCAGGAGAGTGTATAACATATTTAACTACAGGGAGTAAAAGAGTACTCAGAATGTGGGTGTACAGCAGGGAAGACAGTGGTGCCAGGAGAGTGTATAACATATTTAACTACAGGGAGTAAAAGAGTACTCAGAATGTGGGTGTACAGCAGGGAAAACACTAAACAGTGGTGCCAGGAGAGTGTATAACATATTTAACTACAGGGAGTAAAAGAGTACTCAGAATGTGGGTGTACAGCAGGGAAGACAGTGGTGCCAGGAGAGTGTATAACATATTTAACTACAGGGAGTAAAAGAGTACTCAGAATGTGGGTGTACAGCAGGGAAGACAGTGGTGCCGGGAGAGTGTATAACATATTTAACTACAGGGAGTAAAAGAGTACTCAGAATGTGGGTGTACAGCAGGGAAGACAGTGGTGCCGGGAGAGTGTATAACATATTTAACTACAGGGAGTAAAAGAGTACTCAGAATGTGGGTGTACAGCAGGGAAGACAGTGGTGCCGGGAGAGTGTATAACATATTTAACTACAGGGAGTAAAAGAGTACTCAGAATGTGGGTGTACAGCAGGGAAGACAGTGGTGCCGGGAGAGTGTATAACATATTTAACTACAGGGAGTAAAAGAGTACTCAGAATGTGGGTGTACAGCAGGGAAGACAGTGGTGCCGGGAGAGTGTGGTTCCAGGTGTCAGACCCGGCTCTACATCTCGCTAACTCTGTCAGTCATAGGAACTATGATTAATTTCTCTGGGTACGCGGCTCATGCTACTGTTTATCAGGTATATTTACTTTTAATTTTACTTTTATTTAAACACTTATGCTAATATAATCGAGGCGATATCAAGAGCAAATTACCGTTTGTATTTTTGGTTTTATTTCACCAACAGTTTCCCTTTTTTAACTATACAGAGAGTGGTGACGACAACGTGAATATTGTTATTGTTGGATACAAAAATATTGTTCATGGGTTTACAAAAATATTCGTTTTAACCAGGCATTTGAAAATTTACAAAAAGGGGCAATGTGGATATCAACAAGGTGATTCTACGCATCTACATGGTTCACCCTAATTAATCTTTTTAAATTTAAACAAGTATTTATAAATTTGCAGAGAGTTGTAGGCGAGGTGGATAGAACGGTGGCTCAGGGCTGGAGACAGTTTATCACCAGAGTGCTAGGAACCCTCCCAGCACCCATCCTATTCGGGTACATCATAGACAACGCCTGTACTATCTGGAGGACTAACTTTGATGGGAAACAGGGAAATTGTTGGGTGTACGATTTGGATAGGTGAGACTTGTACAAAAGTATAAAGAATAGAAAAATGTCTATGTTGTTGAAATTTAATATAGTTTGTGCAACCTTCTTCGTATGATTCCAAAAAGGAATAATGAGTGAAAAACGTACGCCAAAAACTTTAACATATTGTTTTTGAGCAACATAATTGATTAAAAAGCAATTAATTAATAAGCAATTAATTAATAAGCAACATAATTAATAAATCACGATACCGCTCATAGTGCATATGCCACGATTAATTTGTGTCCTTATAACCCAATAATCGTTACAGTTTGCTGGTTTGGTTTGTTTGGGTGCAGATAATTCTCCGTATTGGATCATCTATACTTTACTTTGCTGGCTGGTACCTATACCCTGAACCTACTCAAGAAGAATTAGAACGATACGAGGGACGGGCAGGTAGTAATGGATACGAAATGGAAAGGACAGATTTGAAATCTTAGGAGTTAGAGCGTGATGTTTTAGTTTCATATCTCTAATACAGACTTGAAGATTCTTCTAGGCGCGCAGAGGGTTCGTTCGAAATGGTTAGATTAACGCATTCTGATCTAATCTATAGAGAGAACGAGGCCGACACACAGCTCAACGGCTGTGATTTGAGAGATAAGACTTGAAGTATGTGTTCATAAGGGTATGAGATTGTAATGGTTATATATACTTGAAGTGAAAGGATCAAAGGGAATTCAAAAGACAAAGATTTTAAATTGAACCTGCGGTTAGTTTTGATAAATTTTATTCTAGGATAATATTAATCTGGTCAAAGACTCATCAATGCTGCAAATTTGGTTCATGACATGAGTAGTCATTACATGAGTTAGCACAGAATTTTGTCTCCTATGTTGATAAATTTGGTGCCAAAAATATAAATAACATAAATGCACTGGGAAGCACGTTTTAAAAAACTGTTAGTCAAAATTTATTTTCAAATTCTTAAACCTGTACACAAGCGAATTTATTAACACTTATAACAAGCAACTTTCGGTACCAAATATATCAAGATTGGATTCGGAGACAACAAAATTCTCAGCCAACTTTACTCACGGCATTTATTACACTGACCACAGACGATAAGAGCCAGACGAGCAGAAATAAAATGCGTTTTTAGTTTTAGGATATAGTATCGATGCAACAGTACATTTTTACTGGGTAGAACTAAAACTCAAAATTGACAGTTTGAACTTGTAATTTATTTATTATGATGTTAACATCATTTGAAATATTATTGTTAAGATCAAAATATTTTCCGTGTACGTCAAGATCAGAATGATACATTTAAGTTGATACTTTTGTACACAGTTAATGTTATTGTTTAATTTTTCATGCAGCACTTAAAATTAAAATGGTTACTTATTCTCTTTCTAAACAATGCTATCATTGTGTTCATAACGAGGTAACGTACTATTGTACGGGTTTCCGTTTAGCATTTTGAAATTGAATCAATAATAATAATATAATTACATCAATTTTCAAGTTACATTAAAAATGGATCTTGATAATGGAAATTTATTTATACTTTTCAGGCTTTTATTCATGTTCTAAAAATATTTCTATCAAAACGTAACATAAATCTGAGGCAAAATTAGTGTATAATTATTTACTTTTAATTCAACCAACTTTATCAACTTGTATCGCATTTTTGTTTTTGGGAAAAGCGAGCGTTCTCGGTATCATTTTGCATTTGCGGACGGTTATTCAAATTAATATCATTTCCTTTTGTTTGTGAAAGAGAGACACTGGCAGCGGTCCACTCTACCCATGATTATGGGTTTTGGTAAATATATCTATACTAATAATCCCAAGGTGCGTGTGTGTCTGTCTGTCCGTGGGAAATTTCCGAACGGTTAAATCAAGAAAACGGTAAGAGATATGCGACTGGTTTTTTCGGTATAGTGCCGACAAAACTATGATGAAGCAAAATTATTAAGTTTTTTAAATCTGTCGGTAGTAAGTGGTTTAATTGATCATTTTGTGACTCAAATGTGATACTAAAGTGTGTGTGTGTGTGTGTGTGTGTGTGTGTGTGTGTGTGTGTGTGTGTGTGTGTGTGTGTGTGTGTGTGTGTGTGTGTGTGTGTGTGTGTGTGTGTGTGTGTGTGTGTGTGTGTGTGTGTGTGTGTGTGTGTGTGTGTGTGTGTGTGTGTGTGTGTGTGTGTGTGTGTGTGTGTGTGTGTGTGTGTGTGTGTGTGTGTGTGTGTGTGTGTGTGTGTGTGTGTGTGTGTGTGTGTGTGTGTGTGTGTGTGTGTGTGTGTGTGTGTGTGTGTGTGTGTGTGTGTGTGTGTGTGTGTGTGTGTGTGTGTGTGTGTGTGTGTGTGTGTGTGTGTGTGTGTGTGTGTGTGTGTGTGTGTGTGTGTGTGTGTGTGTGTGTGTGTGTGTGTGTGTGTGTGTGTGTGTGTGTGTGTGTGTGTGTGTGTGTGTGTGTGTGTGTGTGTGTGTGTGTGTGTGTGTGTGTGTGTGTGTGTGTGTGTGTGTGTGTGTGTGTGTGTGTGTGTGTGTGTGTGTGTGTGTGTGTGTGTGTGTGTGTGTGTGTGTGTGTGTGTGTGTGTGTGTGTGTGTGTGTGTGTGTGTGTGTGTGTGTGTGTGTGTGTGCCTTGGCTGTTGCAGTTGAGCAGTTGAGTGCTACGGGCGATATAAATGCCCGACGCTTTAGCGAGCCCGGCACGTAACTAAGCCTTATTTGTTATAATTATTTCCGGGCTCTGAATGAAAGAATGTGAAATATTTATACAATATTTATATAGTGTGTAATATATAGTTCGCAATCAAAACCATGATATCATGGTTTTGTATCATGATTGAAGCATTTGTCTGACTCAACCGGTCGTTTCAATTTGTATCTAGCTCTCGGCCTGCTGACAGTGCTCAATGAGCACTGTCAGCAGACGACGCCACCCACAATTATATATTGTGTAATATATAGTTCGCAGACTGTTTGGACTGAGCGAGTTCATAATTTCGCACCGTTTTAACTACGAAAATATAATGCGTGCTTTCGAATATAATAGGCGGGTTTATACTTTTGCATTTCAACTGCGATAGTGAAGTCCCGGCCGTAGGCACAGGTTACACTAGTACATACATATATAGATATATTATATACTTCACTACAATTTGTTACAATCATCGAAAATCGTTCAGAAAGTTTATTTTTAGTTCAAAACATTCTCATTCAATGTCAAAGATGACAGGAATAAGAAATATTTATGTAGAGATTTTTAAGAAATTTGCATAGAATACGCGCCAGCACTGTTATACGAAATTCGGGAAAAAACCCAAAATCGCCATATTCAGGTGCCTTAAAAACCACGTTAAAATTGAGTTAGAGATCTGAAATGTTGCAGAGCGTCTAGATGTTGACCAAATCAGCTGCAAAAAAGTTTCAAGTTTCAAGAGTATCGGTTAGAAAAACGCTCGACATACCCTCTCCCACATTTCATGGTCCCCTCCTCAAGACCTCACCTACCCCCAAGAAAGACACCACAGCCAAAACAGTGATCAACCTCTCTGGACAGACCCTCTCCACAGCTGAAACTGACGTACTCTCCCTTGGACTGAAGTTCGTCCCGACACCCACCTCAGATCCTACCCCCGACCTGGCTCCCCTCATACAGAATATCACTAAACAACTAGGAGAAGGCATGGAAGCCTCAGCCACATATCAGGTCACCTCTGTATTATCTAAATTTGACAATAAACGTGACATGACCACCGACAATTTGACTCCACAACAACGTACCGCTCTTAAATCTTTAAAATCTAAGAAATCTGAATTGAAATTTCTTCCTGCTTATAAGGGCAACGCCACTGTTGTACTTACTCACGATCAATACATAACCAAAGTTACCGACCACTTATCCTCAGGTAGTTACACCCTCTTAACGAAAGACCCCACTCAATCCGTTACCACTAAACTACAGAAAGTCCTCAAGAAACTACACACCGACAAGAAGATCACGACCGACCTATACCACAAGATGCGCAACCTACATCCTAGATGGCCTCAACTTTACGGACAACCTAAGATACACAAACCCGGCGCACCTATCCGTCCCGTAGTCAGCTTCTACAACACCCCCCTCCAAGCCCTCCACAAAGTCCTCGCATCTTTCCTCAAACCCCTAGCCCAGAACCCCTTACGCCTCAAAGACTCTTCCGACTTCAAACATCGCTTCGACTCCTCTCTCAATCCCTCCTTCCACTACCACGCCTCCTTAGACGTCCAATCCTTGTACACCTCCTGTGACATGCGCCTAGCCCTCAAAACTGTCATCTCCTCCTTTGAACAGAACCCCTCTCGTCTTCCCTCCAATGTCACCACCACCACCATAGGCTCCCTTATCAACTTTTGCCTTGACAACTCATACCTTGAATTCAACGGCTCCTTCTACTCCCAAGACGAAGGTGGTACAATGGGATCCCCCCTCATTGTTGAACTAGCTGAAATCCGCCTTGCTGAAATCGAGACCTTAGCTTTATCCTCATGTCCTGACCCTCCGAACACTTACTCCCATTTCGTTGACGACGGCCTTGGATCTTTCAGAGACAGAAACCACGCAGAATCCTTCCTTACATTCCTTAACTCCCTTACTGAAGACCTCAACTTTACCCAAGAACATCCCTCTACAGACGGAACTATACCCTTCCTTGACGTTCTCATCCACCCTGACAAATCCACATCAGTCTACAGAAAACCCACCCACACCAACCTCTACACCAAGTACTCCTCCTGCACCACCAACTCATCTAAGAACGCAGTTATCCGATCACTGACCAGAAGAGCCCACAACATCTGCTCACCCCAACACCTTGACGACGAACTCCAGACAGTACGACACGTTTGCCTCCAGAACGGCTTCCCTCCTCACCGCATCACCACCATCATGGACGAAGTACAACGGAAATTCACCAACCCCTCTCGCCACCAATCCCTAGCCTCATTCAACCGACAGACCCGTGAACATGCCCTTAGTGTTTCTCTTCCTTTCCATCCCTCCCTATCCAAACCCATCTCCAAGATACTCGGACAACACGACATCAAAGTCACCCACTCCTCTGCTACCTCCCTCCGCAACCTCCTCACCAAAACGAAGACCACACCCCCTACTCACCTCACTCCCAACACCATCTACGAAATTTCCTGCTCACAGTGCCCCTCCAAATACGCCGGACAGACCTACAGACCCTTGGTCCACCGCATGAAAGAACACGAACGATGTTACAGACTCAACAACGCCATCGACGAATCCACAGACAGAATCAAATCAGCCCCTGCACATCATGCCCTGACCACCGGCCACACCATCTCCTGGAACAACATCGAAGTCCTCAAATCCCTCACCTCACGCTCCCAACTTGACCTCACAGAACACGCAGCTATACAAATACGACAACCAGCTATGAACAGAACAGACCGCGCACCCAAATGTAGTTCCCTCTGGGACCCCATTCTTCCTAAAATTGCCAAATCCTTAAAGTCCAGACCATCTGGCATTTCCTTCTCAACCTCAACAGAAGACTAAATTTTTATTGACATTGTACTGTAATTTTCACTTTCCCACCCACACCTCCCCCACCCTCCATCCCTGACACCACTCAATCACATATAAGCATTGTCCACCACATCACATTCAGCTGACGACGATTAACACATGTTTATTGAAAGCTTCTACAAGTTAAATCATCGTATCTCTTATATGTTTTTAACCCAACTCCACTCAGAATCGGTTAGTACTTTTTTTTTGTAAACCCCTTGACAAATTATTGTTTTTTTCGATATTACCAGTACTTGATACAAGCAGCCAAGGAGCACGTGGTAGTTTCGAGCGCTACTGCAAGCGAGAGGGCTCTGGTCAGAGCACGTGGTGGTATTAAGCCTTCTGATTGGTAAAATCAGGATCTTTAATAATGTTACTGCATACTGCTTATTATTTATGCGCAAAGCTATAATATCTTTAATAATGCTACTGCATACTTTTTATTATTTATGCGCAAAGCTATAAATGTACAATATAATAGATTGTTTGTGAATTTAGTCACCGATATCTCAATGATTTTATTAACCTAAAGATGTTAAGACATTAATCAATGCAATCATTCCCAAACTTCTTGAACTGCAAATATTCGCAAAAACAATGGTATTCTATATCGTCATGTCAGCTCAGGGAGTTCCTTACCTGAGGACCCCAGGCTATTATGTTCATTAACATAATATAGATTTGGCGGAATGACAGGCTGAGCGCGGCCCAGTAAGCAGTTCCAACTTTTTCATTGGTTGGATATTGGGAGTCATTATTTTACAATAGGTCCTGACTTGGTCACGTGGTGAATGGTAATGTTTAGTTGCCAGTCACGTGAAATATCCAAGCAACACAGCGTAGGATCAACCTTACTGGGCGGCGATCAGCCTGTCATTCCGCCAAATCACTATATGTTTATGAACATGATAGCCTGGGGTCCCCAGGTAAGATCAACCTGTAATCATTTCGATCAAATCATCATTCATTTCAAGCCAGTCTCATCATGGTTCTTGGTATAACTAAATTTGTTTGCTTTGAACCTCATCATACAAATTTGTGACTTATTATTCATCGCGCTAAAATTTATATGTTTATTTGCTACACTTTG